TTTTTTTTTTTTTTTTTTGTCGCTGTTTTGTTTTTGTTGTTGTTGCTTTTGACGCTATTGTTATTCATGTTAATGATGCACTTTCTGCCACTGTTGTTAATATTTCTGTTCTCTCTTTCGTTGCCGTTGATGTTGCTGTTATTGTAAATCGTGTTGTTGTTGTTGTTGTTGATTATGATAATGTCATTTTTCTCTTTAAAGTCTAACAGATTAGCAATTTTAGAATTTGTACGTTTTAGAAGGAGTTTGCTGTATCATTTCACGATATTCATACTTGCAGTTTTTTAAGGAAGTTATTTTTGAATAGCTTTATTCGTAATTTTCATTTCCAACTGTTACAATGACCAACATTTCCAACTGTTAAACTAGGTGATTTGCCAGTCATCCTACTTAGTAAAAGATGCGCGGTAACAATAATCATCTGCTTTTTACATGGTGATTACTCGCTAGTTTTGAAGATTGCTATGACAACTGCCTCTTTATTTGCATTTGAAAATTAAATCACATCCATTGTTTCGGCTCATCTTGAGTTATTTTGGAGTGGAAGCAGGTGTTTGTGCTGTATTTGTGAACTACAAAGTTATCATTTTAATTCCAAAGCAGTCATTATTATCCGTCAGGTGAGAATACCATAGTGCAGAAAGTGAATGCCGAAGGAAGTGCGCATATGAAAGCATTCGCTCTTTTGTCTCTCGGCACAAATGATAGCACACGATTTACTTATCGAGTTTACTTTGCGTCGAACGCAAACATCAGAGCCCGAGGTCAGGAATCCCCTCTTAACTCTAATTCATACTGGGTCGGGGAGGGGGTGGTGCAGAAAGTGCCCACGTTGACCTTAACCGGCAATAACTTTTGCCAAACTCTGCGACTCTATCTGGAATTGAACTCATTGGAAACAATTTGGCACTGCATTTAATTTTACTTAGAACCTTCTCTTTCAATGGCAACCATATCTTTGACAGAAGGTCTTATGCGTCCCATGTCGCGATATAGCATTATAATGGTGCAATACGCATACTCCCCGTCGTTACTGCTAAAGAAACAGGAGAAAAGACCTACGTGTCAAGACCGGTCGGATATGATCTAACTACATGAATGTGGTGTGCGCAGATTGCAACATTTTGCGAGCTCTTCTTGTTCATAGTCAAGGTTATCCAAACAACCTGTAGAGAGGATTGCAGTTAAATATAGGAAAGAGGTAAAAGTACTGTTTCCTTTGTAACCGACCATTCCCAGCAAGGGAGGAGGAATGACCGGCTATCAGAATACAACTACACCATTTAATAAGCAGCTATTGTGTTTTTGCTACAGGAATATCAACGACGGTTAGTCCCATTGGTCAGTGTCCAGAGATATCCGATCCTCCTGGTGGCTCCTGTTTTACCTACAACCACACTTGCCTGTCTGACGAACAGTGTTCCTCCGGTTTCCTTTGCTGTTTTGACGGCTGTCGGCTTACATGTCTACCGTCTGTGGGTGAAGTAACCGGTAATTGCTACCGTTGTTATTGTTGTTGTAGTTGTTATGGCTACATCTGGTTATTAGGGCAACACGAGTACAAACTCTCGTCGTATAAATGTAAATACCCCAAGAGGTGTTTTTTCTTATTGCTCAGTTAGAGCCAGTATTGGCAATGCGATCAATGTCGTTTCAGCTTTCAGCTATCACCTAATCACAACAACAAGAAAGGGCCTGCATTTAGCCTTCCCTTGCTCTTACCACCTCTTTAGCAAGGCTTAAGTTGCCGTTTAGTCCTGCAGAAAAATGCTTTGAGCTCAAGAACACTCTAAGGCGATGTTTGGACCGAAAAAGTGAACCTTACTTTCCTGGCTAAGGGAAAGGACAAAGGTATCCATGCTACTGAGAGCTGAGTACTACTGCTGTCCCCATGCCATGCCGGTAATGGCGCGTTTTCAAATCTCAACTCTGATTGCAAATGAGCAGCTAGGCGAGAGATTTCTATTTTGGGCCTGATTCGCACACAGACGGCAAACCATACGTACGTGGTGGTTGTTAATGTGTGTAAACAAAACAAACGAATGTACGGAAATGCGTTTTACCACACAGTTTGTGCGAAAATGTAACGAACGCATTACACTGTTCGACATTACTAATGTGCATCTGAAAAAAAAAAACCCTGAGAATTTCCTTTTCATGAGTATCTTCTCTATTAGGTACTTAAACGCGAATCCCGCAGCTTAGTCCTAAATAATACTTATATAAAGTGCCACTGTGTTGTTTCCACAGGACCCACCATTCCATTTACAACAGGCGCTCCAACCGGTTCTACATGCGCCGAAGCCTTTGACCTGGGCATCGCAATGGATTCCTCCGGTTCCATACGAGATGGCAACTACCAAAAACAGAGGAATTTCATTAAGGGATTAGCCAGTAAACTCACCGTTGGGCCTCGAAACGTCCAACTAGGTCTTATTGTTTTCAGCGATGTACCAATCATGTCCATCAGATTTGGCACGCTTAGAAGTACCGACCTTTTCTCCTTTACTGCAGCAGTGGATGGCGTGCCATATTTTCGCGGTCGCACTCGCATAGACAGCGCTCTAGAGACGGCTGCCAACAACTTGTTTCCCGAAGGACGTCAAAGCCTTGTACCTCAGGTGTTGTTGTTGATAACTGATGGCCGTCAATCAAACGATCCTGGGGCGATTGAGTTGGTGGATGCCGTGCGACCGTTGCGTGATCAGAGCATTAAGGTAGTTATGTACAAAATTATAATTCAGCGTGTTCTTGTTAGCCTCCGAAAAACACAGGACAAAGGGTCTGCCTCGATTAATGGATTTAATGGGAATAAGGGGAATACTGTTGGATAAGTCTATAACGGTTGTACCTGCCCTATTCATCATTCATATGCTTGTATTTCCAGGAAAACACAACCATCTAAACCACTTTGGTGTATTTCCACCCCATCTGCCCACCTCTCCTCAGCCCTTCACCAACGTTCTATGATATGATGTGATAAATGTTCTCTGTTTCTTCCCTTCATGGACCAAACCCCTGTGTAAGTCGACTCGTTGTCCGATTACCACGTGTTTGTCACTCGTAAGACTGCTCTCCTCGTTGAACAAAGCTCATTTATTTATATATTATGTTGCACGAAACAAATGGTCCCAAGCTCTGAGCTAAATAAACGTTACTCTCACAGGTTATTGTTGTTGGCATCGGTGATGATGTCGATAAAGACGAGTTGAGGGCCATAGTGCAGAACCCAGTAGATGATCTCTTCCTTGTCGAGTCATTTGAGGACTTAACACGATTATTGGATAACCAGAAGCTTACTGAAGCGTTCTGTTTTCCCACACGTAAGTTATAAAGATACTACACTAAGTAGTGTTAAAAACACCCATAGATAGATATTTTTTGAATGGTTAATTAAATATTCCATTTTCGAATCCCCTTCGCCAGACTAATGTTGACATATTGTGGCAAAGTTGAATAGAAAAGAAATCGACACTGTGTTGTGTATGGGGAAGGGAAAGGATAGGTGAAGACAAAGACCCATCGGTAGATGAAATATATGGTGAGCAAAAAAGTTGCGAGCATACAATACTTAAACTTTCTATATTTTTCCCCTTTAGGTGGGCGCTTCCAAAGAAATCGATCGTGAAACAATAAGGAGGTGTTTGTGAAAATGTGTACATCTGTGATGTAGAATAAATATGAGTAACAAAAATATAAGCGTTCTATTGCTAAGTTGTTTGCTATAGAAAGCTTTTAGGAAGTAGTCGGCTATTAACTTATGAATATTATCTCGCATAGCAACTAGCCACTTTTCTGAATTTTGGCAGCTGTCTTTTTTGCTGCGTGCCATTTCCTAGATGTTCAATCGCGTGCTATGATTATCGGTTCCAGGCTCCTACTTGTTTCCCAAGTGGCCGACGAGCTTGTCATTATTGGCTTAGTTAACTTTAATAAAAAGGTTTGAAATTTGTGCCGCGGATGCCTTTATTAGTCATAGTTAGAACAGTTTGTTATTTCCTTTTTTATCGAAAAAACTTAGTTAGCGAGGGGTCTCGGTTCCAACGCTCTAACGGAAATCTGTTAATAATGCAAATAACGGTTATAAAAAAGACTATCGGACACTTCACTAATATATTCTCGGGTCAGAAAAATCTTTGAGGCATTACTCGTAGCGTTAAGAGAAACATTTCAAGGATTCTTATGCTAGATATGAAGCTCTCGGAGTTAAACACTGGACGTTTTCCTCTTCTGTATCCGGAGAGGGCTACCTTTTAGTTATAGAGACCATAGCAAGCTTCCAAACTGTCTGAGTAGAAATAAAGCTCAATTTATTAAAATTAAAGCAATAAATATGTCAGTGTCGTTTGCTACAATCTGTAAATTCCAAAGAAGTAATCTTTCACTCACAATGGATAGTAAGATGATATCCGAAAGGGGGGGCGAGAGTAATCTACAAAGTTTTATACGGTGGGGCTCTGCGCCGAAGTTTAGCCCTTTTACCCTTTCGTATACCATTTTTTACAGAAAAGGTACCCATCTTAATAATAATAACAATAATAATAATAATAATAATTATACATTTATATAGCGTTAATACTATGAAATATTCGAAAGCGCTTTACGTGAAAAAAACGAAGAGCTTTACATAAAAAGAAGCTAGCAAACTATAACAAAGAACTATAAAAAGGTTCCACCCCCTCCCCCTCCCTTCACATACCTATTAAGAACACTGTATCCCTTTTCAAAATCCTTGGAATGAAGTTAATGAACAATATCATATAAACTTTTGGTCTTCGGCCATCGTAGCTTGATTAAAAATATATAACAAACAGCGGTGATAAACATTTTAAACTTTTGAAAATGTATGTTAACTAGCATACGAAACGTCAAGTTCATAAAATGCATGTTTTTAAAATGTTTATCACCGCTGTTTGTTTCATATTTTTAATGAGCAATACTACGATAGAACATCAAGCATTACCAGCAGACATGTTAACCAAACAAAACGAGTATTATTAGTACAAAAAATAGCTAAGGGCTAAGCACTGTCGTAATTCAATCCTCTGGTGGAAAAATTTGTAAACAAAACACACAAAAGTGCCTGTCCCGAGCAAGCTTGATCAATAAGATATTTACTACAATGCTGGAAAAGTTAAGGAAAAATGCCACGAGCAAACCATAGCACGAACTGGAAAGTCATGGTTTTGTATGTAATTAACGTGAGTGTAGTTGCAAACTACCATAATACGCGTAGGTCTATATTTAGACAAAAAGGAAGAAACTTTTGTGATCATACAGGGTTATTTGTCCTGCTTTTTCATAAAATGTTGAATTAACACGCAAGTTACGTGAATTAGATTATTTATCTCGTCGTTTCTCTAAAGTCGCCTCATTCCTCGCGTGTCGCGAGCGCAGCTCTCCCTCTCGAGTTGTCTCGCATCCTGCGAGTGACTTTAGATTCCTCTCGAGTCATTCCTCGCCTCTCGCGAGTTGCGTCGCGTTCGCCTCGAGCGTGAGGATGACAGAATTATACCATGAATGGGATACACTAGGATAATAATCTCCCCTGTACATCGTGAACTAGTAAGATCTAGCGCATTATCTCGCGTCTTTTCACGGTAAAGAGTAACCTTCAGACGTGAGAACAAACGAAAATCGCTCCGCGCAAGTGCGCTTTTATCGCAAATCCGACTTGCCGTTTCTTACGTGTTCAACGCGAGCGTCATCGATTAGTCGACGCTGATAGTCATCACTTCGTGTGATAGAGTTTCTACCCAATAAACATAACACAGAAACACTATAGCCAATGGGTCTATTTCCTGAGAGGCGTAGGTGCTTGTTTTAAATATAACACATCATATCTGCACTTAGCTTGAAGTTGGAAACTTCTGCTTCTGTTCATCAATTCATAACAAAGAGGTACTTGAACCTTGGCCTTTCTAGTCAGCATGCTTCATCTCTGGCAATCTTCCACAGAAGGTTTGTCGGAATAACCCGCCTTTCTTTCCTGCGCGTGAGCCAATTATATTGAAACCACATTCCTCGAACAAGATTGATGTTAAAGACGCAATCAAGGGAAGCAATAGGCCACCGGATGTCAACAACACGGGGAAGGGAACTAACATATAAAAAGGAAAGAGATGCTCGTTGTACCTGTTTGGGCTTAAAAAAGCAGAATCGGTATCTCTTAGGGTGTTCAGTCTCGACATGTCCCACAGCAGGAGCTTTAGCAGTACCTTTAAAGGGGTTTTGAGCTACAAAAAGTCAGTGTCGGTATAAATGTGTTGCTTTAGAATTGGTTCCTCGTAGGGGTAAAAAAAATTTCAAGTGACCGCCACAAAACAGGGTTCTTTATAGTGGTTCTTTTCAAAATTTCCGACCAGTAGCCCCGTCCTTTTTATATGGGAGTGCCCCCCCCCCC